CAGGCAGTGTGCTACTGGGCCATCATATACATTGATGTGCATTGAACTCAATGCACATCAATTGAACTTATTAGGGGGCCTTGCAAAAATATGAGTATTTCTACCACAGGCAGTGTGCTTGAAAGCATTTCATAACAAACCATACAAGTAGTATCTTCAGTGTTTACAGGCAGGATATTCTCAGTAGGCTCATATTGCAGTTGGTGCAATAATTGGTAGTTATTCTGGTTTGATTCTGTCACAGACTTCCCAGCATGACCTTGGCTGTGTCATGTTTTTCTTCCCATTTTCCAAATAAGCAAATAAAGCCAACATTTATTTCAAAAAGGTGGTGCAAATCTGAAAGCATCAGTGTTTGCTGAGCAGCCTCCCATCTTTGAATAGGAAGAGTCATAGATGTGGAAAGCATTATTCTTTTCATCTTCAAAGTCTTCTCTTTGTATTTACAAATTAACCAATCTGCAAAACAGTATTTTTTTTTTTTCCAGGGCAATATGGTTAAGACTATTCTTACTAATTATAGAGAAACTTCCATAATTCCAATATATGTAGTTCAAAACAACATACATAGACATACATATTGCAACATATTTTCATTTGGATTGTTAAACCTGCATAGCTTTGATGGTTTCATCCCACATTTGCTATATTGTATTTTTAATGCACTCAGACTGTGCTGGTATAATGGTGATCCTCCTCTTATACCCCATCTTTCCCACATGCATGAAGTCCGCTTTGTAGTGACATTCATGAAGCTCCCTGCTGTGGCTGAAGCACTGGAGTCCTGCTATTTAGAATGAATGATTATTCCAGTGGTTGAAGTGTTCTCACAAAGGAGACTGGGCAGCAAGGCACTTCTTCCTTTCCTACCACACTAGGAGAGGAAATCCTTATTTGAGCCTATGATGAGATCCTGACAGCCAGTACCTGGAGATATTCTTAGCAGTGAGAAAAAGCCACTTCTGCAGAATGAAGACAATATATTCACTGCATGAAATTATCTTTAAAAAAACCAACATTCCTTCTGCTTTCTGAATGGAAAGGGAAAACAAATAAACACTTTTTAAAAAACCAGTAAAAATCAGGAATTCATCAGATATCAAGAAGCTAAATCCAAAACTTAACCCCAGAGCTTCTCTCTGCTAAGTGCTGATCTCATCCTGCTAGTTCCTAAACCAGGCATTGGCTCCTCCTTCCCCAGGGCTCCTGCTGTGTGCAGCTCGCTCCTGCTGCTGCTGCTGCTGCTGCTGCTGCTGCTGGGCGTTGTGCTGCTCAGCCCTAGCCCCCAGCTTCTGTGAAAGCACTGTGTCCTCCATGCTGAGGCAGGGCACTGTGCCTGTGCTATGATGCCAATTTTCAGTCCATCTAACTCTCAATGCTGGGGATGAACAGCTGGAAACGATGCCCATTTCTTCTGTTTTGGACAAGATGATTCAGGGAGAAGCACACACATGGTACCTTGTGTTTTGGGTTGCAGTCTGAGCCCAGGCACCAAGTGTTGCTGTGCTTCAGCTTTTTAATTGATGAAACTTCTGACTCACAGAGGAAAAGCAAACCTTGAACAAGCCATACAATTGAAAAGCTTCCAGGCTCAAGCAGAGACCAACTGCTGAATTAAGTAAGACTGTGAATGGTGAAATGGACTCTTGCATGTTAAATGGAAACACAGAGAGCTACAGAAATGAGCTTAGCTCCCTTTGATCATGCTGCAGTAAATGTGACCTATCAAATGATTGCTAAAGAGCTTGAGGGGATCTTCAAAAGTTAGTCATGGTAAAATAGATGCTATAATTATATCCACTGATAAATTTTAGCAAAACCAGCACATTTGCTGATGGTGCTAGATGTTTTGCCTGATGAAGATTTCTCTAGTTACAATGTGCATTCCGTGAGCACAGCAGCCATCCAAGCTTCCCTGATCTGTTCAGCAGACGGGCTTTGCACTGACCTGAAAGAAGAGCCCTCCAGTCTCAGAGCTGAACTGAGCCTTCACCTCCTGTAAACTCTGCACAGAAGGGCTCACCGCCCCTGATGCCATCAGCAGCTCTGCACAGCGGGCTTTGCCACTGACAGCCAAATCCCAGCATCCTTCCCTTAGGCAGTGCCATCACCCCTCCCACCACAAGCCTGCTGGAAGCAGTGGCATTCAGCACAGGGGACAGCTCTGAAGGGCAGGCTGTCCAAGCTACCCCCACATGGCAAAAGCAGACTGATCCTGTTTTCTGGAAGGGATAAAGGGAACATCAAAATTTTCAGGACTTTGGTGATCCTAGTGAACCCCTCCCAACTCAGAATATTCCATGATTTGGTGAAATTTGACTACAGCCTGGTAACAGGGAGTGAAAGCAAGTCTTTTTTGTCCTAATATTGAAGTATATTAAGTGGTGAAAATTCATTGAGAGATGGGTGAAAGCTCTTTTATTATCACTTAGCTAACAGTTATTTGCATTACACTACTCAAGATGAGTTAAATCATTAGGTATAAAATACAGCTTTCAAAAATGTAACATCATAGGGTTTCTGACTGCCAGCAGTCAGTGTGCACAAGTGTACAGCAACAAATCCTTTCCCTATACACCAGCCCCACTGTACTGCTCAGGATGCCACATTCCCACCTTTATGGTTTCACACTTACCACAGAACTGGCTTTGAAATGTACAAATAATGAAGGCTACAGTATACTGAAAAATGGACAACTAGAAGTTTTTTGTTGTTTCACCATACCAGAAGAATTCTCAGAGAGAGATCAGTGCAGCCTTCCAATGCATTGTGCCATTGTTCCCACAGCCAGACAGAATTTCTTTTTCATTTCGTGCCTTGTGGTGCAGTTTAGTATAATGAGATTGTTACAGGTCTCAAAATCATTAAATTATGAAAGTGTTTCCCTCTTCTAACCCTTGCTCCCTTCTTAATGGAATCATAACAGCATCTGGAGGCTGGAGCTGAGACCATTTTCTGTCACATCTCTGAGCTGATTTGCAGCACACTGAGCTGAAAGGCTTCACAGACACCATCATCGTTAATTTCAGTGGAAAATCTATTGTAAGGTTTTGCATGTTGCATCGCTGTCTAAGAGTAGATTAGATTAGAGTTTCTAAGTGACTTTTAATTTCTACTCTCTGAAATGGAGCTGCATTGCCTCTTTCTGGCCTTTCTCCTACTTTGGCAAATCTCATAAAAGTTACTGGGCATTTCCTTCTCTTATCTTTGTAGCAATCTCACTGACAACACAGTTTTTACTACAAACATAATACTTTTAGATGGCATAGATTAATAAATTAATAGATTTAATATTTTTGCTTTCCAAAACTTATACATCAGAAGGACATCTTATGGCAAGCAGACCTCTTGTCTCAAGATGGTGGAAAACAAGCACATTAAAACACTTCTTAACCTCAAAAATAATAACCAAATGATGGCAATGTTTTAAAATGAAGGAAATTCTTAATCAGAATTTTTACCGAAAATGAGCTTCATTTTTCTATTGTTGCAACTTGTCTGTGAAAAATCCCATATGTCTTTCTGTGTGTGTACAATGTTTTAGAATAATATAGCATCTTTGAAACATTTGATGGCTTATGAATGAATAGGTCATGAGAAAACCTAAGCACTCTGTATTAAAGATGAGAATGAATCATGACTCATTTAAAACACTAAGAATACCTATGTGCTTTTGTATTTTTGAAGTCATTTTCTATTTTTTTAAAGTCTCTGTTTTGTTTTTTTTTTTTAATATATCACCAAACTACCACAATTTTCTGTTTTTTATAGCCCACAGCTATAAAATGCAGTTGGTTTTGTCTGATATAATTTAAGCACATCAGACTGCGTAAGTGCTTGTGCTGGAGATTACTTCAACTCTACCAGTATTGGCACTGGCAATTCAGGAGGGAGCACTTTTCACTCTGCTTTAACATGGAACTGATATCTCTGCCTAATTTTATAGCATACTTTTGTGTTAGCACTGCCATGGTATAGTGGTTGGTGGAAAGACTCACATATACCAAACCCACGCCTGTGAATGGATCCACATGATGGAGCTGCCCTGCAAAAAGCTCCTGGAAGGGCTGGGGACTGAAGACATGATGTGTTAAGTGCTTTGGCATTTTTCAAGATGAAAGGTGCTGTAGATGTGTGTAGATGAACTATTTCCCTTCTGTCCCTTGAGGAGCTTGAACTAAAAATGTCTTTCAGTCACTGGACACTTCAACATTCCTTAGCACAGAAATTGAAGCCCAAAATGTATCAAATAATTTTACAATATTACTAGCCATCAGTTTTGGACTACTACCTTCACCTCACCACGAATGGACATTATGAATATACCTAGACAAAAACATGTTAAACCGTTAAAGCTATTTTAGTATCCTGAATTGGGAAAGTGTATCACTCTTTGAACTACACAGTTTAAACTGTATAAAATGGAATAAGGAATTACAGTGTGTATAATTCTTTTTGGTTTTGTAAGAGAGTATCAATTACAATGTTATCGTGACAGCTCCATCCTGTAGCCAGGAGAATCGCCAGTGAAATCAGTGGAGAGCATAAGGTGCAACTACAGGCAGGCTTGTTGCTTCAGTGGGAGAAACAAGAGGAGCCTCGGCTGAGGCAGCAGGGAGGGATGCTGGGGCTGTGTGCGCGGGGCTGCCCGGCTGCACAGCTGCCACCGCAAACCCGTGCCCGGCATCCCGCCCTAACCGAGTCCACGGTGGCGCTTCGGGCTAACCCCCGCGTTACCGGCGGGCATCTCCCGCCGCAGGGCCGGGCAGTGTCTCTGCTCCCCCTGGCCCGTTCGGGACACCCGGTGTCGCCGGGCCTGGCGGTCCGGCGGCGGCAGAGCCCCGGGCGCGGCAGGGGAATGCCGCGGCTCGTCCTTCTCTCAGCCGCGGCCCGGAGCCGGCGGCTCCGCCGAGGAGAGACGGCCGCGCCGGCCGAAAGACGCGGCCCCTCGCTCGCCCCGGCT